CCCCGTTCAACAAATGTATCCTGATGCAGCTGCTGATGTCACCCGTACCCCTCTTCTCTTCCAGTCTGTGGCCGGCCACTCACCCCCATCGCCCAGAACCAGGAGGCCCTCGGTTCCTCCAAAGCCAAGTTGGGCAACTTCCCCTGGCAAGCTTTCACCAGTATCTACGGCCGTGGAGGGGGGGCCCTGCTGGGCGACAGGTGGATCCTCACCGCCGCCCACACCATCTATCCCAAGGACAGCGTCTTTCCCTGGAAGAACCGGAGGGTGGATGTCTTCCTGGGCCACACAAGCCTAGACGAGATGCTGCGGCTGGGAAGTCACCCTGTGCGCCGTGTGGTCGTGCACCCCGACTACCGCCAGAACGAGTCCCACAACTTCAACGGGGACATTGCCCTCCTGGAGCTCCAACACAGCGTCCCCCTCGGGCCCAGCCTCCTCCCGGTCTGTCTGCCCGACAGTGAGACCCTCTACCGCAGCGGCGTGTTGGGCTATGTGAGTGGGTTCGGCGTGGAGAGGGGCTGGTTAACCACTGAGCTGAAGTACTCCAGGCTTCCCGTCGCCCCGAGGGCGGCCTGCCAGGCCTGGCTCCAAGAGAAGCAGAGGTCTGAGGTGTTTTCGGACAACATGTTCTGCGCTGGGGATGAGATGAGGCACCAGAGCGTCTGCCAGGGGGACAGTGGTGGCGTCTATGTGGTATGGGATGAGCGCGCCCATCACTGGGTGGCCACGGGCATCGTATCCTGGGGCGTCGGGTGCGGCAAGGGCTACGGCTTCTACACCAAAGTGCTCAACTACCTGGACTGGATCAAAGGAGTGATGGGGGGGAAGGACTGACCCTGGGGGCGCTTGAGCAGTGACCCTCAACTCTGGAGGCCCCCACCCCGAAAGGAGAGGGTTGGGAGCTCGGACTGGGCTCGGGGACGGGGATGGGGGCAGAGAATCTCTATTCGAGCTCCTGCTGCCCTATCCCTCATGCGACAGAACTCCTCCTCCTTCCCAAGGCCCCCTCCTCCTCATCCTCTCCCTTCCTTCCAGTTTGCGAGTTTGTGCTCCGCCCAAGGAATCCCTGTACATCTCAGCCGGTTGCCTTTAAACTTCATCTTCTGGGCGCTTGGGTGGCTCAGTCTCTAAACTTCATCTTCTGGGCGCTTGGGTGGCTCAGTCATTAAGTATTGGATTTCAGCTCAGGTCATCATCTCATGGGACTTCATGAGCTCCAGTCCCATATGAGGTGAGCTCCAGCCCCATCTCTCTCTCTCTCTCTCTCTCTCTCCTTCCTGGGATTCTCTCTCTTTCTCTCTGTCTGTCCCTCGCTCACTTGCGCCCTCTCTCTCCCTCTCAAAAAATAAAATAAAGCCTGGGGGGACTCAGTTGGTTAAGCGTCCGACTTCCGCTCAGGTCATGATCTCACAGTCCTGGAGTTCGAGCCCCGCGTCAGGCTCTGTGCTGACAGCTCGGAGCCTGGAGCCTGCTTCAGATTCTGTGTCTCCCTCTCTCTCTGCCCCTTCCCTGCTCTCTCGCTCTCTCTCTCTCTCTCTCTCAAAAATATATAAAAACATGAAAAAATTTTTTCAATAAATAAAGTAAATAGTAATAATAAACTTCATCTCCTGCTGACATGGCTTCTTCTGTACTCTCCTGGGAGTCTGTCACCTTCTCATCCCCCTGTTCACGTGGAGTATGAGGGATGCGGTCCTAAATGCTTTCATTTCTGAAACATTCCAAAGCCCCTTTCGTGGACCTTCCCGTGTTCAGAGTATCGGCTTCACCCCTCACCCTATCTCCTAGCTGCAGTTACCGAAGTGAATAGTTCGTTCTGTTTGACATCTGCCACACACCAGGTGCTTCCCATGTTATTTCATGGACTCCTCACACCAGGTTTGCCATGGATGTGTTACGGGACACATTTCACAGATGAGGCAACTGAAGCCCAGAGAGAGAAAGTGGCTTGCCCCAAACCCCCAGCGGATACCGGACAGCGAAGGCCGTCTGCTTTCTGGTACACCATGATACCTCCTGATTGTCCTCAAGACCTCCTGTACCTCCCCTACCCAGTCCCCACATCCTTACGGACGCCCCCTGGGAGTTCCTGCTTCGGTGGGATGCTCAGCCAACTGAGCCACCCAGGCACCCCAAGAGTGATTTTTTTTTTAATGTCTCTGGAGACAGGAGAGAGAGAGCACTTCACAGAAGCAGGTCTTTAACAAATGCATCGTGATGCACCTGCTCACACTTTCCTGCCGGCCGCACCTCCTGTGGACACCAAGCTGAGCCCAGCCCGGGGCTGGATGTTTCTACAGACAGCCTCCAGCACCACGGGACACCCCGGTCCAGGCTCCACCTGAGAAGACCAACTCTTTAACTTGTAGTAAGGACTCAAGGTGATTTACAGCGCAAGACCCGAGTAAAGTACAGTTGTTCACATGGAAATAGGAAATTAATGCCAGAACACAGAAGAGAGCCAATGTGCTAACATGGAAGGTCAAGTTAGCTATGTGGTTAAAGGTTGAATTGATCTTGAAAAACAGCAGGATGCGGGGCGCCTGGGTGGCGCAGTCGGTTAAGCGGCCGACTTCAGCCAGGTCACGATCTCGCGGTCCGTGAGTTCGAGCCCCGCGTCGGGCTCTGGGCTGATGGCTCAGAGCCTGGAGCCTGTTTCCGATTCTGTGTCTCCCTCTCTCTCTGCCCCTCCCCCGTTCATGCTCTGTCTCTCTCTGTCCCAAAAATAAATAAACGTTGAAAAAAAAAAAAAAAATTAAAAAAAAAAAAACAAAAAAAAAAAAAAACAGCAGGATGCAAAGTTGTACATACAGGTGGTTACGTCGATTTTTTAAAGCCATTTTCAAACCTATAGTATAAAAGACGATTAAAAATAGCCTAAAAGTTAAAAAAAATACCCAAAAATATTAATCAGAAGTTAATTTTGGCTGTTTTGTTTTCCCCTAGTCTTTTGGGTTTGCTAAACTTTGCTAAACTGTATTTAATGAGCATATATTAGTTTTATTTTATTTATTTTTATCATTGAAAAAATGACGGGTACCTGGGTGGCTCAGTCGGTTGAGCATCCAACTTTGGCTCAGGTCATGATCTCACAGTTCATGAGGTCAAGCCCCGCGTCAGGCTCTGTGCTGACAGCTCAGAGCCTGGAACCTGCTTCAGGTTCTGTGTCTCCCTCTCTCTCTGCCCCTTCCCTGCTTGCACTCTGTCTCTCTCTCAAAAATAAATAAACACTAAGGCTATTATAAATGGGAATACATTTCTTTTTCAGGAACTAGAAAAAGAAGAATAGAGAGTTAGCAGAAGGAAGAAAATAACAAAGATTAAAGCAGAAATAAATGAAATACAGACCAAAACAACAATAATAAAAAAAAAAAAAGATCAGTGAAACTAACAGCTGGTTTTTTTGAAAAGATAAACAAAATTGGGGCCCCTGGGGGCGTCTGACTTCGGCTCAGGTCATGATCTCACGGTTCGTGGGTTCGAGCCCCGTGTTGGGCTTGCCAACTGTCAGTGAGGAGCCCGCTTCAGATCCTGTCCCCCCACCCCTGTCCCTCCCCTGCTCATGCTGTCTCTCTCTCTCAAAAATTAAAATAATTTTTAAAAGATTTTTGTAAAAAATGATGTTTCTCCCAGCCAAGCCAAAAATTATATACCTATATCTATATAGAGTCATCTGTCTAGATCTAGATATATCCACAGAAGGAAACTTACCATAACTTTAGGAGAGAAAATTTTCCCCCCAGAATCAAATCCTGAGAGGAATGAACAATAAAATAGACCATCTTCGATACCGGTTTTTAGGCCAGGGCAGAAGCAATCTTCATTTGGCTGTTTCTTTCTATCCTTGGTGTAAGTTAGTCAAGGGTTCCTTTCAGTGGTCGGGCAGTGGGGAGGCAGGGCTGGGACTGAGCTGATGCGCCCCAGGTTTGTCACTTTCCAGTCATGTCGTCTACATCAGGACAGAACTCAGGATCCCTGGGACGGATGGGAAAGCTCAGCTAAGACTTAACTTCTTGGACCACCGCTCCTTAACCCGTAACCTCTGCTATTCTGCCTCCACTGTGAACACCACACAAGACATACACACAGCGCTGTCAGCCTGCTGACGCGCAATTCGCTAAGCAAGGTTCCCCGTCTTTCTTGTCTCCTGATCTGGTCCTTATCCCTCTCCTCTATTTTTTTGCCTTTCCTAACCTGACAAGGTCATGGGTCATGTCAGGGATTAAGTCATGGATCAGCCCCGCCATCAGATCCATTCTTCAGCTCTGACGTACAGGCCTGCTGGAGGAACCCTCCACACCTTGGTTGACTTTGCGTCTTCCCTGTGCCGGCTAAGTACATTCAGTGACGACTTGGCCACTGCCTAATGGGAAACTGCCTCATTTTTGTGAGTCCTCGCTATCCGTTGCCTGGGAAAGTGACTGGCACATTAAATAGGTAAGTCCCTACATGGAAGAATGAGTGGGTAGGTGGAGCGGGCAGGTGGAGGGATGGAGGGATTAATCTCATTGGAGAAACAAGCGGGATACACTCCGAAGGTCTAAAAACTCAGACGACTGCTCTGCCTGAGCTGCCCTATAAAATATGGTGCCATATTGGTATTTTGGTTTTGCCACATACGGTATTTGAGCCATGGCGAGTTGAGAAAGAAAGGCTTCCACAGACAGCATACTTTTAAATTAGGAGACTATGCCCTGGAGCACAGGAAAGATAAGAGTCCCCCACCCCCACCCCAGGGCCTGGCTTTCTCTCAGAAAAGGCCAAGTCACTGTTGGTCCACAGCCACACTGCTGTTTGGCTAGCCCTAGGCAGCCATGACTCTCAGGGGCTCCAATATTTGACCAGATGCCCAGAAGAAGAGATGTCTCTACCCCCGCTCAGCTTCCCTTGCCTCTCTAAAAGCCAACTTCACTGGCAGGCCTGAGCTCATTGAAGTGGGGAGGAAGCATCTTAAGAGTCCCTAGTGTTGCTTTAGGGTCACCCTGACACAACAAGCCCTATTCAGTGTTTGTCATTCAAGGGTGAATAGGCCGGGGCCCCAATGCAAACAAACTCCATTCTCTTCTGTCCCTCTTCTACCTCGTTGTTCCTGGACATGAAAATCCTAGCCATTCCTGGACCAGGGCCGTTGGGTGACTAAGGGCAGGACGAACCAGATTGATGGAACAGGTGATGCAGAAAAGAGAGTCTCCCTCAACAGCGATTTCCACTGCCTTTGGTGTAGGAACCTTGTAAAGACAACGGCGGTCCCTGAAGAAAATGAAAATTCAGATCAGATTTAGAAACCGCGAGGTCTGGGTTTTCCAAACCAAAGGCTGTCTCCACTGGAGAAACTCAGGCCCGTCTCCCTAGCCCTTCCCCAGATCGGCCAGCAGGTGGCGCCACCATCAGGGATTTCAAAACCAAAACTCTACTCAACTGGAAACAGACTTTTTTTTCATTTTGTTTATGCAAATAGTTCATTCCCTACAACATTCCTCCGGGAATGGTTCCCACCCCCCTTCCCCTCCACGCTCATTCCCTCCCCCTTCCCTCCTCTGCATGACCGCTGTCTCCCTCAACGCAGAGTGGATGAAGACGCTGTCAGGAGAGTCTAGGATCCAAAAACAGGCCTGGAGAAATGTGAGTAAGGCTGATGGGGACCCAGGGAGGGAGGGAGGGAGAAGCCAGAAGGGAGAATCCTGGGCAACTCTGCTCCCAAATTTATTCAGGGAGACAGGAACACCCTTCCCCTCCCCGTATATCTTACCTTATGCCGGTATGCACATGCGGGCACACGCAAACACATACCTTCCATCCCTCCTCATGAGGACAAAAGGAGACCTTACACACGT